TATTCACGGGAGCTTTACACTCTTTAGGCGTAGACTATAGCATTGCTACTGTAAACAAGTGTATAGACTCACTTAATAACCCAGGGGCACAAGCCTCTTTAAGTATTATCCATAGTATTCTATTGAACGTGTATAGCTAAGAATTCTCTATCCACTACATTTCCGGTGCCTTTCAATCTCTGGCATTGATTAACCTGTACAACAAAAAAATCATATTCAGTTTTTGTAGACAAAACCTTGACTAGATGATAATCAAGATGTGGTTTTTCATTTGTATTTAATAACATCTACTTTGTGTGTGAGGACTCCTCTGTGGAAAACAAACGGTCACCTCACTTCCCACTTGTTGAAAACCGACTGACTCACAGGAGGTTCTACACAGCTCACTGTCTGCACACTCTGACACTTTATTTGCAGAGGAATTCTTTTCTTCAATGAAGTACGTTTTTCTACTTTGAATTCAGTTTCTGTCTTTTAAAGTATGCTGTCTTAAATTGAAATAATGGCTTCAGAGGAAGGATACAACTCAACAATGTGGGTTCATGTCATCATGTGTCAGCTCATCGTTACACGCTTTGCTTTTGTGATTTATTCTACATAGAGGAGAATAACCTGAATACTGTTTGACAAACTGGTCGTTTGCTTGTGCCACAAACCTTAAACCAATAGAACAGCTGTACAAGAGAGCTATCAAGGTGTTTGACAGAAAGCCATATTCATACCACCACTGTACCATCCTTGAAAAACAAAATGTCTTAAGTTTTGGCAATTTAAAGTCTTTTAAAAGTATGTGCTTTTTTTATAAATGTTTACATGGACTGCCCCCCCCCTCCCCCTCAAAGCTAAAATCCGTCATATTTACACTTGACGCATTTTTTTCGTTTTAAGTGTTCATTAATGTGCATTGTTCCTGTCAAATAAACGATTAAATGAAATAANGAGAAAGTCTGTGTGACTTTAAATTGTGGGTAAGGGTAGATAGCTCCCATCACATAATGAAATATGGCCCCCGGTTTGATGATTGACAGGTCACAGAACAATGGGAGCTATCTACCCTTACCCACAATTTAAAGTCACACAGACTTTCTCAGACAGTATCTCCTCTTTACTCTTCTCGCAGCAAGATGTCAGAACAAAGTGAAAAACAAACAATGGCATAAAATATTATTAATATGTCGGGTAGTAATATATTTATTTATTTTCTTCTCAGAGTGTACCAGAATGCATAGTTTGTTAGTATTTCTAAAAATCTCCTGGGGGAGAATCCCCCCAGACCCCCCTGCTGGGGTTGGGTTTTCAGCATGTGTGCCTTTTTTATATACTGTAGTTCAGCTTTGATTCCATCATCTCATTTAACCTTTTTTAAAAGCATACTTTAGTTCTGTGAAGGGATATAAGCGATATATGCACTGTACTTCACTTTTATTAATATTGTAAGTAAAAAGTGGGTCTCGAGGCCTGACCAGTTGAGAACCACTGGTATATTCTATAGCTATTACCCTAATCTTGGTAATAAATGAACATGTGTTTATGATTTCCCACCAAAAACAGCAAAGTCAGACACCCCAGTCTTTGAGCAGCTCTATTTCCAGGTTGCATAACACAGGTTGACATTTTTAAAGAAACCAAACCAGAGTTAGAATTAAACACACTATTAGGCCTTTGGAAAATAAAATTGGCTAATTTGCTGTAAGATTAGCTTTATACTGTGGGAATGTCTAATTATTTTCAGTATGTTGCGAGCAAGAGTCCTTTAATATATGTTACCTTTGCGGTGCCCAGAGTGAAATCAGTTTTTTTATTTAAGCAATAATAATGTTCATAATCTACCCATACTCATGTTGAGAAAATAATTACATTTTCTATATTTAATGTATTCTTTACTTGTTATTAAAGGATTCCATGTTTGTTCCTAGTACAAAGTACTAGTCTTCTTCCTGAGCTGTAGAAAAAGCGTTGAGGTCAGTCTGACCATCTGAGGCACACTTCAGACCTGCAGGTCTGGGCTGCTGAACTTGAACTCTATTTCAACAAATCATGTAGCTGTGGTTCAGCCACGCTCCCCCAATGCTCCCCCCACCACCTCAAACCACACAGTCTCTCTCATGTTCAAAGAGAGGCTTGAGCGCCTGAAATCCCTCTGAAGGCAAAGACTTAAATTCCCTGTCTCGTCATCCTGAATAAGGCTATGATTGTGTATTTCCTAAACTTAACCTTTGACCCCCTCGAGCCATTTGTCTCCAATTGTCTGCCATGCCGTTTTTCTTTAAATAACCCGCCCCTCCAACCCTGACGTGGCTCATTTTACAGGTACAGTTTGGTCCTAAAGCCTGCCTAACTTTTTTTTGTATTACCAAGCTCAAATAACTGTGTAATTTAAGAGGGGTTGTTTTTAGTGATTAACTATTTTCTCTTCAGCAAATCTGCTGTCATCAATCGTGTTTTCCAACCACAGTGGGCAGCTGATAAAATCTGCTTAAAACCAAGCAGCATACAGACAAAGATAGCAACTACTTGGTGTAAATAGCAGTACTGTTTATAAAGGGAAAATGCTATAAATGCAGCTAAAATACCAGAACTATTTATCTGGAAGTCGTGGACACCAAAGATGAAACTAAGGCCCAATCCCAAACCACTCCCTCGACCCTACCCCTCCGTAACGGAGTGAACTCCGTCTGTAGCCACACTCGCAGCTCAATGAGGCTCCCTCGTGTCAGTTGGAGGGTGTAAATACAGCGGCAAGCTTTGGGACGGCCTCCCCTCTCTCCGGCAGAAACAGGAAATGCCGTAACTGTATGTAACAACATTAATAACTCAAATAAAATTCCAAACGTATTTCATTGTGTTACTTTTTTGTAAAGATCTTTTAGTTTTAAACCTGATGTTTGCTGGAACTACTTGTAAACAGCGTGTTTCTGACGGACACACACAGCGTGATTCTGTTCAGGTAGAGACCGGTCTCAAGTCAGCACCGCTGCAGACTCGCTGTTTGAGGGCTTGATAGCCCACTCCCCCTCCACACCGCTCCACACTCGTTGGTTTGGAACAGCCCTCAATATGGCGGACCCTCCGCGTGAACGCGCAAACGGAGGGGTAGGGTGTGTAGGGGGCGGTTTGGGAATGGGCCTAAAATAGAGACTGAATATTGGACTTAAATCTGTCGCTGACTGGAAATACAATGACAAGGCTTTTGTGGCTGTTGAATGTGTAGGTAGGCAATGGAATAGAATGGCCTTGTAGCATTTGCAATTAAGTTTGGACAAAGTCCACATTTCTGTATGTGTATGTGCATATGTCACTTCCCTGTTTACAGTAGGAAGACTTGTGCCACCAATTCTCTCTCTTGTAGTTAGCACTGATGGGATAGTCACAGATTATTCCTTCTCATGTAATAGTTATTTGAAACAAGGCGTTTTGGTCTGAATTGCCTTTAGGGTGTGTTTGGGTTGAGGGAGGGACAGTTTCCATCCAGAATATTTCCTTCCACTATTTTTATTTGCAGATAATAGAAATCAGGGTGATGCCCCGCTTCTGGATGAAACCGTTTTAGTCTCCTTAAATTTAGCAGACATGTTTCCACTCTCAGTTTTCTCTTTGCTTTGATGTCTACTTACTGTAACATAGTCAAATGCTGAATTGCTAAGGGCTCAGTTTGCCAAAGATATCATATAAAATATGTGTACTAGTTAATTCTCTCAGGGTCAACTTGAGAACACCAGGAAGGAATAGTTTGCATTGTATATATACTGTAAAAATACTTATATATATAAATAGTAGAAATTGGAGGTTTTTTTATATGCAGTTGTAGAAAGTCTTTAGACATTCCTCATCCATTTTATTAAGTCATAAAATACTTCCGCTTAAACGTTTAGTTCAAACTACATAGTAATTCGTTTTACTAGTTTTCATTAGTCTACATTTTATTCTGTGTGAGGTCTCATTAATTTCTTCCTTGGAGGTGAGGTACATCTACTTAATTAACACACTACCCTTATTTTCTCTCCGGGAGCTTTTCCTGTGCTTCAAAGGTAATGATAATCCCACCTGCCTGATAACTTGTGGTGGTTGAGAGCAGGATGGATGTGTTGTGGGAGGCAGTTTAGAGCTCTAAGAAGGTAACAATGTGAAGTTGAACATTCTGTTGCCACAATATTTTTTAAAAACCGGATTATTTGAACTAACAACAACACTTGCCTCTTTCTTGGACCTTCTGCCAGTTCGGCATCCCATGAGTCAATTGGGTCGCAGGCATGTTTAGCTAGCTAACGTTTACCCAGTTATTTATAACATGGCTCGTTTTTATCACGTTAATATATATGAAATCGATTTCCTAAGTGTGGGCCGATCACCCTTTTGTTGATCAGTTAATTGAATCTGTTGAGTATGAAAGCTTGCCATGACTACCCGCTGCTTTCACGGTTTTACAATGATTTCAAGTTAAAACTTCACAGGCTGTCCCTCCTTCTCAAACCCTTATTTAAAGAGGTTCACCTACATATGGGGAAGAAACATAAACTTCAAATTTAAAATATAAAAAACGCCAAGTCATTCACCTAGCCAATTTCCATTTTTGTGACTTAAACCTAAAACGCAGAGCATATTTTTAACTTTACTCTCCATTTCGAAAATACAGTACAACCTCACAAGCTCCATGTGAAGGCAGCATTTGTAATTGTGCTTACTGTTTATTCAAGCCAGACCTATCCGCTGCCTTCAGAGTGGTTTTTCCCATAACAGAGCTCTCCAAGTCTGTACCAGGGAACTCTGATCTCTGGGTATTTACTCTGTGTGGGAAGGGGCCGCGGCCCCACCAAGTGAGGCCAAAGGTTTGATGAAAACTGGGCTCATTTGCTGGTGACTTTTCCCCGTTAGTTAGCTGACGTTGGCTGTTTGGAGCCGTGTGTGTTTGGACAATAAATCTCCACCAGGCCCGGCACAGACTGGGACAGACAGGAAGTATACAGTTTCAGGGTAACTATGGCAACATCCCTTTTGGCCTCATGCGGGAAGGAGCTCTTGGAGTGGAGGGACCTTGTCAGTAATGGGCCAGAAAGTCTGCAAGTTTCTCTTTGTCAACTGGGTTACTCTCTCAATAAAAAGCCACACAGTGTTATTTAAGATAAGCAACCCCCAAATCCTCAACTTTTAAAAATTAGGGTGAATAAGATTAAGCTGCATTTTGGCTTTATTAAGTTAAACTCATATTTTAGGTTTTATGCCTTTTTTTTTTCTCTCCCTCCAGCTGCCTTCCTGTCCAGTCTCGGCCAGTATGAGATTGCCATCCCAATACGTGTAGAACCCAATGGCGAGACTATGGATGCAGAAACGCCACAACATCACAGAAGAAGACGCAGCACTGAGGACAGAGTGCCTGACTCTGTAAGTTACTTTTTGAAAATGACTTTTTTTCTTTGTCTTATGCACAACTTTTTTTTTTTAAATAGAGATTTTTGTTTAACTCCACTCTCTTTTCTATCTATTAGCTCTTCTACCAGCTGTCCACGTCACGTAACAACTTCCTGCTGAACCTGACGCTGCAGGGAGGCCTGCTGTCCAGGCAGTTCAGGGTCGAGTATTGGAAGAAAGGTCGTTTAGCCTGGAGTCATCCCTACTCTCCCCATTGCCATTATGTAGGACACCTCCAAGACCAGCCGCACTCCAGCAAAGTCGCCCTGAGCAACTGTAACGGCCTGGTAAGACTTAAAACCTGCAAGTCTAATCCACATCTGATACACTGAGTGAGGTCAGCGGCCGTCGTGCTGGCCCAGCAAATGAGGGATCAGCTATGCTTGATTTGGACATCAAAACTTGACATTTAAACAAAGTTTGAGCATTCAAGCCAGCTTTATTCTTTGCAAACCAACCAGTGTGGTCCTCAAAAATGTAGGGCACTGGAAATTAAATCCTAAAAAGGTACTTTAATTCTTTCTGTAGGCATTTATATCCCTACAGATACTTAATCAAGTTTATAGGATATAACGCCACGATGTTGTTAAATATCCAGTACAACAACTTCAGGCATACAAACGTTGACCACCATTTAACAATCAGGTAACTGCAGATGCAAATAAGCTGTATAGCTAACTCTGGCTCAAAATGTATTTATGTTATATAAAGTAATAAACGAAAATAAATCTAGAAATTACTTTACCATTCCCTATGCTCTCTTAAAAGATTTTGCCATGTTCACGACACGTCATATGGAATGGAGGGGTACAAAATGATGGTTATGTGAAGGTAAAAACATTTGTGCATTGACAATCTAATACTTCAAATACAAAAATCTTGGTTTAATTTTCGTGAAAGATAGACTTTGGCATACATTGGTGTTTACGTTTGTTTGGTTTTCAGGCGGTTTCGTCTCATGTAGTGCCAAGTCAAAGCTTTCCTGTTTGAATTACTACTTGGATTTTGATCTGAACACTATTTAAATTTGGAAATTGGTCATAACCATAACTCAAATACAACAGAAACGTGGCATCAGCATTTATGAAATGAACAAAGTTGATGAGGCAAGTTAGGATTATGTATATATTAGCGTTGATTTATACACTTCGGCAAGAATAACATTTAAAGTGCTTAACATAAAAAAATCAAAGGCATCAAGAGAAATGCAAAAGAAACAAACGACGAAAGACACTCAAATACAAAAAAGACAATTAAATAGGTGATTGCTTTTGGCTCTAGATGAAAACAACCTTTTTAGGCAAGACTCGGTGTGTACAAATTATGATATTCAGCACTCTATTTCACAAAAGTGATTAAAATAATTCCATAAAGAAAGAATAAAAAAACGTTTCAAAACCTTAGAAAGAAATGCAAATCTTCCCTAAAGCTATATCAAGTGGGCCCTGTTCTGACATGGTAACAATGCAGGGGTGTTGTTAAACAGATCAGCACCTTCAGCACATTGTTTGAAGTTTAACATCTACCAATAACCCACAATGCATCATGTTCTGGCATGCTCGGGCGGTTTAAATGCAGACTGGGAAAATATATGATATTAGTAACCGTAGCTGTGGTCAACCAGGCAGGTTTTAAGAAAAACACATCTGAATTGAGGACCCTATGTCTATATTTTAACAGTTTTTAAAAGCATACATTTCATTTAATATACTGTATTTCCGACTCTCATTAAGTCATCAGCGTGTGACTGCAACAAAAAAAGAGATCAAAGTTAGTTCCCTCTATGAATCACTGGACTGGATCACCTAATTGTCATGCATCAGTTTGTTGGCTGAAATAATGTCCACGCATTCACAGCACTGTGTATCTATGTATCCTCTCACTACAAACAGCAGGCTCCAAAATAACAGTTGTATACACAGCTGAGGATTAGATGTGCTCACAAAGCGTTAATAAGAAGCACACTTAATTACTGTTGGTCAAACCAGCATGAGCACATTCACCAGTGAGCGGGTGGTGTGTCCAGGGGAGCATCACTAACTTTATTATGGGATTAAAGGCACTTTAAAGTCCGCCGCAGTGAGTCGAGGGGAGACGCTCGCTCTGACCGAGCCAACACATCTGAGTAGATTCAAAGGAAGTGTTAGTGTATCGCTCTCTGTCTCACTCTAATTTTTCTCGCTCTCATTCACTCTTTCATGCATGATTGTGTGTATGTTTGAATCAAATATCTCTCACTAAATGCTTTGTAACTGCTGCTAGTATTGTACCCATCAAATGATACCTCAGAAACTATATTATGAGTGCCAACGTAATATAAACTGATGTGCCTCTTTCCAAATATGATGCTCACTCTGAAAAGTATGTAAAGTTCTAATTTTCAAATTAACTAGATAGAAAGTGATCGTACATGGAGTTCAGAAATGTTAACAAAACTAAACCCTGTGCTCAAAATCTGCTGCAGTGGAAGCCCAGAGGTTGTTATGCAGTCTGACCCTCTCCAACTGCCAGTTTCTGACCCATTAGCACGAGGATCCCTCAGAGGGCCTCAGACTCACTTCTGCTCACCTTAATGTACCTTGCCTGCTTTGTTGCTCATTGTTTTTTGTCACTAAAGCACATAAGTGATTGATTTTGGTTGTATAATTACTGGAGCATTTTGGATGATGTGTGTTATTTAATAATGTGACGATTGTGATATTTCATGAAAGCAATGATTCCTGTTATTTTATTCTGTTCTATTCTACTCTCTGCAGCAGGGGGTGATTGTTGCAGGGGGAGAGGAGTACCTGATTGAACCCCTTGTCTCACCAGATAACCAGACCAGGACGGAGCGGGGGGAGAGAACAGAGGGGCGCCCCCATGTGGTTTACAAGCGGTCATCGCTCCGCCATCAATACAAGGGCAAATCCTGTGGAGTCGTTGGTAAGAGGAGAGATATTCTGGGCTTTTTATTAGCAGAAGTTTGGTCCAGACTGGAGGAGTAAATGTGCCCAGATTGATTTGCATAGCAGCCAGCAGCAGCAGGTTGAGGTTGTGTCTGAGTTCCCAGTTGTGATTGGGTGTGACTGAGTCTGTGTTGTAGGGCGTTGCTGCAAAAGCAAAAGTATTTTCAGAAAATAATATTGTTGCAAATAAAAAGTTAAAAACAAACCCCTTGCTAACCTTTTTTAGCATGCTGTATATCAATTGAAAGTGTGTTCAGGCGTCAAAGTGCTGTAGGAAAACTATAGTGAGTCATTCTTTTTTCAATGTATAATTGGCTGAATTGCTGCTGTGCTTCTGTGATTTCTTACTATATGCCGTCAAATCGTGTATGTGTGATCTTCCTCAGATGAGAAGCCGATGAAAGGCGCGTCATGGTGGCAGCGAACTCTAAAGACGCCTCCCCATCATGTCGGTCGTGGCCAGCTGCCTCTAAAGCGCTCAGTTAGCCGCGAGCGCTACGTGGAGACGCTAGTGGTAGCTGACAAGATGATGGTGGGCTACCATGGACGCAGAGACATCGAGCAGTACATCCTGGCTGTCATGAATATTGTAAGTTTCACAACACCGGAGATGCAAATTCACAATGTATTGAAAAGCCACTTTCCCAGTGTATTGGAGTCATTACTGATGAAAAAAATAAATTCCTTTTTCAGGAATGGCAGATCTACCTAAAGCTTTAAGCCAAGATGTTGTTCTGTTTTGTGTAGTTCAGCTTTTTTCTAAGCTTTTAGTAGGAAAATCAGGCAATTGTGGTTTGTTTACTTGACATCGAAACAAAACTGACAGCAGGTTGGAGTCAAGTTCATATTAGAAATATTTCAGAGGAGATTAAAGAATGTGTCTACAATGTTAAAAATAAGTTTACTGTGTTTTTGTTTTGGACAGTCATTGTAAGCTATTTTGGTGTTCAATATTTCTAATATCACTTTTTTGTAAGTGTTTGTACAAAGGAAATATATTTTTTTTTATAGATACTATAATGACGCAATAGTATTGTTCATGAAAAACCCTTTTAAAACCAGTTAAAAACCCAAATAAACAAAACATTTAGGTCAACAACTTGTTTATTTATTGTTAAAATAATTTAATTTGGTTTAATTTAGTTGCATGATTAATGCTTAGAGACAGAAAGGAAAACAAATGCATAAACCTTTTCTTTTTTTTTCTGGTGAAGGCCACATGTTTTACTGTCACGCTCAGATTGTATGTCATCATCTTAACCGTTTCTTGTCACTGCGGATCTTCCCACACACAGTTAATCACTTTAAACTCATACATACACATGTTAGGAATGTATGTAATGAAGGGTTGGTCAGCCACTATTGTTACAAGAAGGTTGCATCTGGAGTGTTACAGAATCTCTGAAACCAACAGCGTCTCCTGAGTGGTGCGGAGCAAAGTGTGCCAAATTACAGTAGGAACCACTAATGACAAGTGTCTGTAGTAGTGGTTCTAACTCTGGTTGTTTTTGATTAGTGTTGGTGCTTTAACTCTTAAATAATCATTTACACTTGTGGTGCACTGACTTTACAGACCTTCTAAAATTCTCAGACTATTCTGTCTTGTAGAATAAGTGTTTGGTTATAATGTAAAATTGATCTTGGTAGAGGAAAAGACAGGGATGAGTTCAAAGCACTCTTCTGTTTTCTCTTGCCATTGAGCATTTCTCGCTACAAATGAATCCAGAGTTTGTGGTGGTCTTATTTAGAGAATTGACCAATACGTTTTTAATCTTCCAATATAATGCATGAAGGCTAGTCTCTGAACTGGAAATCAGGTAGTATTAGTGGTAGTTTTCCATACATTTTCAAGATTGAGTCTTTCTCCTCGTAGAACTTCTCTTGCCATTACAACTCTAGTTTTATGAGGAATTACTCCTGTGTTTATTTCAAGTGTTGTCTGGGCTCTAGTGTTATTTTCTCCTCTGGTCTATTAACTATTTTTAAGACTGCTCTTTTCTTGTTTCCCTGGAGGTCAGGTTGCCAAACTGTTCCAGGATTCTAGCCTGGGGAATGCAGTGAACATTGTGGTGACGCGGCTCATCCTGCTGATGGAAGATCAGGTAAATAGACATTGTCAACTCCTGTAATAAATGTGGCTCTCCTATTCTCTCCTCTTCTCTTTCTGTACTTGTCTTTCCTTTCCCGACTGCAAAAAAATCTTCCCCGACAATCATATATGAGCTCCTTGTGGAATCAAATGATTGGCTTAAGTATCTTTTCCTCCAAGATCCCAGGTCTTTGAGTCTGTAAGTGGGTCTTGTGAATGGTGGCTGTAATGAAATAGACAGGAGGTTGTAAGGAAGAGGTAGATGGGTGAGGTAAGGCGGAAAAGTAAGGATATGAGGGGGGGTCTGTACCTTTCAGACAGAGCAGCTTTGTAACTGTCCTGCTGGTTCACTCTGATGAACAGTGACCTCTATGAGCGTTGCTATGACGCACATCCAGGGTGTAGAAAAGCTTGAAGTTAGATTTAGCTGCTGATGCAAAACACAGCCTTTTAGTAAAGTCCCAAAAGAACACCATCAGGATCCAAATTCAGCAGATTCCTCTAGATTCCGTTTATGATTTTACAAATATTTTAGAGCCACGCTAGCAGTCGGACACTTGGTCCACTACTTTGTCCAGACTGAAATGTCTCAAAAACGGTTGGGCAGATTACCATAACGGCCCGTCTACACAGCAGCGTTAAAAAAATCTTCCAACGCTTCTCTGCCCATTCACTTTGAATGGGGTGACGTCACTTTGCCTTGCTTTTCGCCGAACTGCATTGTGGGGAAGCAAAGCGAAGATTTCCAGGATTTCCAGGATTTCCAGGATTCCAAAGTTGAGCAATCTTCAACTTTTGAAGCTGAGGTGGAAGCGTCAGCCAATCAAATCCGTTTATGCAAATCTGACGGCCCGTCCACACAGCAGCTTTGAAAAAATCTTGAAAATCTTGGAGGTGGGCGTGTCTGAAAGCTTGGGGATTTTTTGTGAGCAACGCGACCGACAACCAATCGCATGAATCTCCCGCCCCCGACATACAAAGCAATAGCAATGTTAAAACGAAGTAAACTGGATATAAACTCCCCAAACAGGCGAAAACCTACCAGTTTCACCCACTGTCTCTGCCACCTCCCTCCATGCCTGGTTCCTCCGGTTTGTATCCCGGTAAATAGTTACTGGTCGTAAAGAACCGGGTGATTTGCTACCGTAATTTCACGTTTGGAATATGAGGAAATGAACTGCGGTATGTCTCTCCCAGTTTACACGTGGTTTGATTGGCTAGTGCTTGTACTGTCAGATTTGCATAAACAGGATTTGATTGGCTGACGTTTCCACCTCAGCTTCAAAAGTTGAACATTGCTCAACTTTTGAATCCTGAAAATCCTAGAAATCCTGGAAATCTTCGCTCTGTTTTCCCACAATGCAGTTCGGCGAAAAGTGACGTCACCCCATTCAAAGTGAATGGGCAGAGAAGCGTTGGAAGCGTTGTAAGATTTTTTTAACGCTGCTGTGTAGACGGGCCGTAACTCAGCCTACACACGGCTGCGTGCGTTGTCGCTTGCCGGCGGGGGGGGGCTGAAACTCAACCAATCACATGAATCTCCCGCCCCAGACAGACAAGCACGCGGTTTGATTGGCTAGAGCTTGTACTGGCATATGATTCGATTGGCTGACGCCTCCGTCGAGACGGCAAAAGTAGAACATTGCTCTACTTTTGCAGCGAGCACCACGTTGCTCGCAAAAAATCCCCAAGCTTTCAGACACGCCCACCTCCAAGACTTTCAAGATTTTTTCAAAGCTGCTGTGTAGACGGGCCGAAGAGTTTTTACAAATATTGATTTGTCGGTCTCTTGTTGTATGACGTAAGTGAGTGAATGGATGTTATCGAAGGAGCAGAGTCTGAATCCACAACTGACATCTAGTCTGGGGTTCAGCTCATACAAAGTATATGACCTTATCATCACAGCCAGGGAGATGACTGGGCCATCTGAATACCTCTTAAATGTCCTTATTAGCCGGCCATTAAACGCATGCGGTGAGACGGTGCGGCCGTTCTAATGTTGACATTCTAGCAATCTGACATCTGAATCATACTGAATTAAATATTAGGCATTACAGTTTGGTTTTAGGTTTCCTCCATAAATGTCTTATTAGGGAACATTTATGATTCATACTGCCTCAAAATTAGTACCATAATTTACTTCACGGATGTGTTCATCATTGTGTCAGAGCAAAGAAGTTCATGTTTGGAACATTTGTGGTGGGCAATATTAGTGTTGTTATTCTTTCTCCATGGACTGTGGAGGTTGAGTTCGGGACAGGATGGAGAGTAGTCTCGGCGAGAGTCCTGCTGCTGGTTTCCAGCTCTGAAAACGGCAAGCTGCCCCTGGAAAATAAAATCAGGCCAGCATCGGGACCAGAAATGAGGAACTGTGGGATGAGACAATTACTAGTTATGTCACCACATGCATTCCTTGGTTACGGGTTCTCTCCAGCTGTGGCCAGCAGAGCACTCCCTTCTCTTTTTCTCCTCTGTGCACTCATTATATTGTAGAGCTCCTTCACTGTATCCCTGCCAGTGCCTTAGCATTCACTTGCAGCGAAGCCAAGGAAGTTTCTTAAACCTTTAAAACTGGGATCCTTATGTTTTCTCACCACGACACACAGCCCAATGAAATGCAATCTAATGAAAACCATGTAACGCTGAATGTGCTGATTTTAGATTATGTGGTTCTTTATGTATTGAGAAAATACCAGCTTCTTTAAATAAAACCATTCTAAACCATTGGATAATCGTACAAATGTAATGCTACAAGCCTAAAAATGTTTTATTAGCACATGTAAATTGGTATTTTAGAGATTCATGGTTTCCCAGCACAGTAAGAATAACTGGTGTGGTTAAACAATGCAATACAGAAAGACTGAGGCTGGGCTATCATAGCATTGTTGGGCTTATCATCTGAGGGTTGAAATCACCCCTTGTTGACACTTGAATACAGTTATATTATTAAGTTGAGCATCTTTTCAAAGATATAGAATTGCTTGAATCGTTTTCTCCTTTTATGCGTTCAAGATAATATTACGTATATTTATTTTCCTAATTTGCTTTTAACTATTTATTACCTCTCTTGTCTCTCTTCCAGCCAACCCTAGAGATCAACCACCATGCAGGGAAGTCTTTAGACAGCTTCTGTAAGTGGCAGAAAAACATCCAGCACCGGAGCAGCTACGGTAACGCCATCCCAGACAACGGGATCGCTCACCATGACACTGCTGTGCTTATCACCAGGTAAGAAACCTTCTTCAAAGCAGTAAGAACTAAAGACTAACTGTGTTTTAGAGCTTTCTTCATAAATTATTTTACTAAGGAAATTTAGAATGAAGACATTGTTTGTAAGTCCAACACAAAACTTCCCAATGTGTGGGTGCACAACAAGAAGCTGCACCGGGCAACATAACGCTCCTACTGCGACTTGAAAATAAAAATATGTTAAGGCTGATTCCCTGGGCAAAAAAGGGTTAAAGCAGCGTTTCCTCTTAGTTGAATTCCTACATTCCCAGCCCTTATCCTCATAGGCTTTCATCATGCCAAGTCCAGAAAGTTAGACTGTTGTCTTGTCCTGTTTGAGGTGACGATAGCAGTGGCGGCTCTGCCCAACTCAGCATCTGGAAAGAAAAATGTAAAAGAGATATGAAAAGAGAGCAAGTGACATATTTATGTTTTGAAGAAAGCAGCCCAGAGAAAATGGACAGGATAAGAAAGTGGGAAGAAATTAAAGAAAAGCTGCGATGAATCTTACAGCGCTGGTTTTCCGCGATCTTCAGTTATTTCTCAAACTGCCCTTTCTGTTACTAATACTGGAGGAAACAGACAACAGTGGTATCTGCATTTTAAGCAGCTCAACAATGTGCTATTGACTGAGGAATGTGCAACAGCTAACAACACAACCATGGTTTGGACAGAGTCATCTGAATCAGACAGGGCCGGACAGAGCTGACACACAAATAAATTCCTATTCTTCCTCACAGAATGTGCCATACAAATATATAAGATTGATGATTGTCTTGTGGTTTTGGTGGTGGCTTTGTGAAAACACTTGGGTTTCACGAGAGGATTTATCAAGCAGAGGATGGAAACTGTCCAGACAGATGACACCACAGTGACCGTCCATGGTTTCCTGCTTTTGTTCTTTTAAATCTATATCTGTCTGCTATCACGTCTGTCTCTGTGAGTGTCACCATCTGGGAGGGTTACTACATCTCAATGTCAATGTGCAGTGGTTAAATGAAATTCAATATATAATTACTCAAGTACTGTTAAGAACCATTTTTGAGCCCATGTACTTAAGTATTTCCATTCTATGCCACTTTATACTCCATCTAAGAGGGGGATATTGTATTTCCCTCCACTTTAAATGATGATACATTCATTTGAGCTATCCAGCAGAAAACAAGAGTTAAAATCAGCCCTACATCTATCAGCTAACTATAGTCCAATAACATGATACATATTGAGTACTGTTATACAAGTTACTTAAGTATCTTTAGATCCTAATACTGTTGTACTTTTACTTGGGTAAGATTTTGAATGCAGGACTTAAACAATAATAACTAATATCTGAATATTTTAGGAGTCTTTTTGCATATCAATGTGTGATTACATCTATTAAGTGGTGCTGTTTCTGTGTCAGTATGTAGTTATTAGTCTAACAGCCTTGTTGTTTCCGTTCTTGTGTACAGATATGACATCTGCATCCAAAAGAACAAGCCCTGTGAAACCCTAGGTAATACACACACACATACATACATACATACACATATGAATATTTGTACTTTTCAAACACTTTACTCACTGTACTATGAATATTTGTACTTTTCAAACACTATACTCTCTGTACTATGAATATTTGTACTTTTCTAACACTATACTTACTGTACTATTCTTATAAGAACCCTCACCCCTTAGCCTGACCGTATGCCTCACAACTGAATGCCTAAACTAAACTGAACTAAAGTGGAATTCTAAGTGTAATCCTAAAACCAAGTCTTAGACCTCAACATTTAATGATTCAGCCCCAGGTATAGATAGGTCAACATGTTTGAAACTCAAATCGGACCAAAGACAGATATTACAGAGCACACATAATGTTATTTTTACTGTATAGTACTGGTGTGTGTGTGTGTGTGTGTGTGTGTGTGTGTGTGTGTGTGTGTGTGTGTGTGTGTGTGTGTGTGTGTGTGTGTGTGTGTGTGTGTGTGTGTGTGTGTGTGTGTGTGTGTGTGTGTGTGTGTGTCAGGTCTGGCTCCAGTAGGAGGAATGTGTGAGCCGGAGAGGAGCTGCAGCATCAATGAGGACATCGGGCTGGGAACAGCCTTCACTATCGCCCACGAGATAGGACATACGTGAGTGAAGCACACACACAGGGCCTATCTCCTTATTTAAAACCCAAACAAATCCATAATGAATTTCATCCTTTATGGGTACTTTGTGGATTAAACTATCTTTCAGTTTGATCTGTGCAGATTAAGCAGCTGCAAAAGCAGAACTTTTCTTAAAATGTGAATCCACCCTGAATCCTTACCAGAGGCCTACACTACGAAGCCGGATTTTCGCTTAGCGAGGTAACTTCAGGGTAAACTCTGGGTTTCCGGTCCTACGACAGTGGTTCTCTTCTT